ATATACAGGGTGTCCCGGAAATGGTGGGCAATCTCTCGGATATGGATAGATAATGAGAAAATAATCTCACAAGTTCATATAAAATTTTTTCCTCCGGGCTCACCCTATAGAGTTATTAGCTCTTGAAGTTGAGAATTAAAAATGGTTTTTTGTTCCACTATACCCCAAATTTTCCATCATTTTATAAAAATTTATGGTATTTTACGTAAAAAAGGTATACTTGTTGAATATCCATAAAATTTAAAGGGGACGGTACCATTTAATTTGAGACATTTTGTTTAACAGAAACACAGGTTTAATCCTAGTTGGCTTTTACATATCAGAATAAAGGACAAATACTTTGCAATAGCAGTGTTCTAAATTATGAGAATTTGGACTTACCTAAACTAACTAAACGAAATGTGCATGACAATCAAAATTTAATAAATTCTCAATATTAGTTCCACCTTCTCTTATACAAATACGAGCTCGTTTAACAGAAGACTGTTGCACTCTCCATAACATTTCAGGATTTTGTCGTATTTCATTTGCACAATAAAAAATCCTTTCTTCTAATTCTTCTCTAGTGGTTACAGGTGTGGAATAAACAAGATTTTTCAAGTGCCCCCAAAAGAAAAAGTCAAGTGGGTTCATATCTGGAGTTCGGGCAGGCCAATGAATAGGTCCACCGCGACCTATCCAGCGATTAGGATATANCTTCTGTGTAACCCATTTTAAATAAATAATAATACAAACTGTCAAACAATAACAATGTTGTCATAATATTACCTGTCACTGTCACGGCCTACCATATAACATTGTCCATGAGTAAATAAGCCCCTCACGGACTAATTAGTGCGATTTAGTTAAAATACTTATACCCATTTTGGACTATATCAATGTTCGATATGTCAAAATATATTGCAAATAAATCTAAATCCTTACGTAATTGGAAAAAAGGCAGAAATGCCCGAAAAACGTCCAACAATTACAAAATATTTTATTTTTTTAATAAAAAACGTTCTTTTCGTTTTTTAATATTATCTCGCTTATTGTTAGAGATGGACCCAACAAACCATATATGACTGTGCTCCACAGGGAACGTTCTATCCAAATGTGTAAAAATATACAAGGTGTTCCATTTAAATTAACAAAGTTAACATCCGTGGCCATTTTGTTTGAACTACATTTGTTTTTCTACTATCATATTCGAAAATTTCATAAAAAATCGTGGAACTTTTGTAACGAGTGTTCAAATAAAAACGTGGTCAAAGTTGGCTCTGACACATTGGACGTAGGGAGTAGCTTATAGCGACCAACTTAACCTCATTTCTCAACGAGCTGTATAGCAGCTGTCAGTTTCAATAACGTTAATGACTATATAACTTTATTTTAAAGAATAATCGTGATAACAATAACAAACAATTAAAGGAGCTGCGGAAAGTGTCCCCCTCCTTGTTATAACAATAAATTAAAGCAGCTGCTGAAAGTGTCCCCCTCCTTGTTCCAAGCACTTTTCACACCTGTTCCTCAAAGAATTAAAGACATTTTCTAAGATGCTCGGGGTATTGTTAATTTCACGAATCTTGTCTATAAGTCGAGCCTGCAGATGGTTTAAATCAGGAATAGGCAGTTCAAA